GGCCAACACCTGCCTGGAGTGGGGTGGGGGCAAAAGGAAGCCTAGTGACTCACACAGGGAAAAGGGAGCCTAATGACTCACACAGGGAACTCATACCTGCCTCAATCCAGCTACTCCTTCCTCACCCTGAATTTTCTGGCAGAGATAGAAGAGACAGAGACACAGATCAGAGGGAAAGGGGGGGAGGGAGGGAGGGAGGGGGAGAGGGGGAGAGATGAGAGAGAGAGAGAGAGAGAGAGAGAGAGAGAGAGAGAGAGAGGAGTTGAACTCGAAGGTCTAAAGCCCCAAGGAGCAGATGAAACTGGGATGGTCAGTCTCAGGCACTTTTGCAGGACTTGGGGAGGGAGCTGGGACATAAAAGAGTTTTTTTCACTTTCTAGACGCTTCCCTGCAGGTCTACCAATAACAGTTTACAGGACTACCTCTCCATGGCCCTCTCCAGGCAGAGCTTTTTCTCTCCATAGCCTGCTCCACGCCCTGCAGCCAGTGGAGAACAGGATTCAGCAAGCTCCCTCCTCCTACCTCACTCACCTGACCCGCTTCCACAGGCTCCTGAATGTACCTTTGCGTTCTCCTAGGCACCTGACTCAGCCTCCCTTCCCTGCTCCTCTGGGGAAAATGTATCCTGTCTGGTAGGGAGAGACTTGGCCTGCCTTTCCCTCCAATGTGGGCCTCACGTGTACCAGGTAAAGGACAAGTGGCTGGCTGCTGACTTAATCTGGTCCTGTCTTTAAACAATTAGGCTAGATTCTGCCACTGAAGTGACCACCACTGTGTGTCTGTGCATGTGAGCGTTCTGGCCCAGGAACAGAAGGCAAGCAGGCCCACTCTGGAAGATTGTTTCTAACCTCACTCCACTCTGCTGGAGGCCTCCCTAAGGCTAGACCCATCCACTTTGAGGCTGGCCTCTAGAGATAGTGAACTGTCAAGAGCTGGGCCTGTTGCGTCGAGGCTCTGATGGATCCAGTCAGCACTTTGCTTCTCCTGTGGTTGGAACCAAGCTTACACCAGAGAGAAAGAACAGAACTCTCCTGTTGTTCTTGTCCGCCTTAGCTAAGCAATCCATCCCAATCAGAGAACAGAGCCCCAGAAGTGAAAAGTCACCCTACACCCACAGGTCTGTTGACAACTAGTTCATGACCATCCCTAGAGCACCATGTAACCATGGGATACGTCTAGAAGCACATGCAGTGGAATGGGAAGCTGGTCTCTTGAAGTGCCCAAGTGGGCAGGGCAGGGAGAAGACTTGTGCTTGCCAAAATAAGTGCCTTTATGCTGATTACCTGGAAGGCATCTGGGTGGAGGCTCAGGGGCACTGTGGGTCCCACTTTCTCAGGTCTTTGGAATACTGGGTGGACTGGGAACAAAGTTCCCGGGGCTGGGATGAGGATGGCAAAGGAGTGCAGCCAGAGTGAGACTGGGGCCCCATGGCTCCCCCTGGGTCCGTGTGTAGTTTGTGCTTCTGAGTGTGAAGGCCAGAGGTCAGAGGTCGATGTTGGGTGTCTTCCTCCATCACTCTCCACCTTACATTTTGAGACAGGGTTTCTCACTGAACCTGGAGCTCACCAACTGACCTGAGGTCCAGGGAGCCTCCTGTCTCTGTTTCCCACCTCAGTGCTGAGCTCCTGCTACCTCACCCAGCTTTCCTCATGGGTGCTAGGGACCCAAACTCGGATCCTCATGACCCAAGCACTTTTCCCTCCAAGCCGCCTTGTGTCAGCCCACCACCTCTCGTCTCCCTGTCCACCTTCCTTTCCTTCCTTCTTCCTCTCGGCCCACCCCTCCATCCCTCCTCCTCCACTCCCTCTCTTCCACACATTTCTCCTGTTCTCTATTCTTATAATAATTTTCACGTTTCCCTCTTTCCTTTACCCTCCTTACCCCCAGAAGAAGTAGTTAACAGATATTAAATTATTTTAAAACAACTTTCTTAAAAAAAAAAGCTTGATGATAGTGCTGACTCAGGACCATCTCCCTGTTTAATATTGAATATGCAATTAATAGATAGATGTTTAGGTTTAGCTCTCTTTCCCCCATTCCACCGCAGCAAGAATAAAAGCACTGATTAATCTGGCTTGGGGCAAGTGTCAGAGCCGCAGAGCTATGGGAGAAAGGCGATGAGGTTAGCAGCTTGGGAGAGCCACTGCCTCCCAGGCAAGGGATGGGAGAAGAGTGTGAGAGCCTGCGCTAAAGCCCAGCCAGGGTTGGGTGGAGGGATGTATTTATTACACCCACTCTAGAGACCCGCCAGGGCCAGGCCTGCCTGCTCCCCTCTGAGGCCTCTCTAGCTGGGGCTCCCTTCATGCCACCCCTGCTTCTTCCCAGCTGGGGCGTCTCCCTCCCTCAAGGCCCAAAGTGCCATTTCTTCATGTCACCTCCTCCAAGGTCTCCAGCTGTCCCTTTCTGGGATGGCTGGTGGCACCTACTGTCCAAGCTGTCTGTCTGCCTGCACTTGAGAGTTACCTTGTCAGGCAGCTGTGGTGTGCTATCAGAACAGGGGGCTGCAGGTGAGACACAGCATGACTGGGAGAATTGGGTCCTGGTCTCACTGGGCCTGCCTCTAAGAGAGGCCCTGGACCCTGCCATGGTCTCTTGAGCCTTGGCTGAGCAAGGACATGATCCAGTCATCATCAAGGAAGGAGCTGAAGCAGGAAGAGGGAACTGGATGGATGGGCCATGCTTGCTTAGGCACCTCTCACCTGAACATATCTACCCCTCAGTTAAATAAACCTTGATTATCAGGGTCCTGAGTTCTTCTTCGAACCCTGGGTGAGGTATGTCTATACCTTGGGGCATGAAATTCTTTTGGGCAACATCAAGCCCCTGCCTGAGTCCTGATGGGTAGGACCTGAAGCTCATGTCAAGAAGGGCCAGAGCCAGGTCAGCAGCCTGAAATGGAAGGGCCAAGAGACTGTTCTGGGGAGAACCACAGATCTTTGGCAACAGCATGTCACCTGTGGTCATACTAGAGTTCTGTCCTGGACAACTGACTCTGAATTTTAATATTTTTAGTCTGCTTTATGTTCTGTCTTTACTTTCCTTATGGGCTTTTAAGGGGAAGGAAGATGAGGAAAAGAGGAAATCTTCATGGTTAGCTGAGCTAAAAACTGGAGAAAGCCAGGAGCAGAGATTCCTGTGTCTGGGGACATGGTGGCCAGGGGTACCCAGGCCAGAGCCAACAGTGGTAGGAGACTTGGCAGAAGAAGTCAGAAGACCTGTCCAGGAGTCAGGGGACAGCTAGGACTGACTGACTTCTCTAGTTACCTGGCCTTCATCTGAACCCTCTGCCAGCCCAGCCTGGGGGAGGCACAGGCTGCCCAGCACTTCGGAGACTAACCTGATGTCCATTCATGTTCATACTCCTGTTACCTAATGGTGTCTTCTGGCCCTTTCTAGTCTCTTCCTAGAGGTTCTTGGTCTGGGACAGACTCCCTATCAGGTGGTAGAATGACCAAGATCTCCCTCCGTGCTGGCCAAAGGTGGAAGCAGTTAGCCCTTTCGTCTTCCCATCCCCCATGGGGCATCCTGCTCATGGGTGGCTGCCCAACTCACTGCCTGCCTGACCCTTTGTATACTTGGGTAGGGACCTGCTGTTGGTGGACAGTGTCCCTTGGGGGTCCTGGGTTTGGTCAGGAACTGAATTTGTCCACCTGCCTAAGGAATTAGCCAAGGGTAATGTTCAGAGCTGAGGCTGGGCAGGGCACAGTGTGAGATACAGCTCGAAGTGGAGGTGGATTCTAGGAGCAGCAGGAGGGACTACAGTCTGCTGGCCTAGACCCTCGCAGGGCCTGCAGCTTGCTCCATCCCTTGGGCTGAGGTGTCAGCTTTTCTGTCTTTCGGGTGAGGCAGGGTGTTCAGCACCATGGGAGGGACAATTTGTTGGACAGAGCAGGTATCTAGGTGGCAGAGGCTGACTTTGAGGCATTTTTTGTCATGCCTTCTTTTATTTTCTTTTACTATTGAAGAGTGGGCTGGATCCTATCTGGGGGGACATAGGAACAGCACTGTGCCTAAGGCAGGGGTGAGCAGTAGTCACAAAGGTACTGTACTCCAGTGGGGCTGTTACCTGATGACAGAGTTGCCTCTAAATGGTCATCTGTCCTGTCCCCCCAGGTCCCAGGGCTGAGCTTCAGAGGCTGACTTTGAGGCATTTTTTGTCATGCCTTCTTTTATTTTCTTTTACTATTGAAGAGTGGGCTGGATCCTATCTGGGGGGACATAGGAACAGCACTGTGCCTAAGGCAGGGGTGAGCAGTAGTCACAAAGGTACTGTACTCCAGTGGGGCTGTTACCTGATGACAGAGTTGCCTCTAAATGGTCATCTGTCCTGTCCCCCCAGGTGTGTGTGTGTGTGTGTGTGTGTGTGTGTGTGTGTGTGCAACCTGCTTGTCAGGGCGCTTGGCCACCTTGTGCCAGCATCTGGAGGGCTCCATGATCTGGGGTAAGCATTTGTGGGTGCCATGTCCTTCTCTGTCCCCTTCCAGACATCTGCCTTTGTGCATCTACCTCTGATCTTTACCTTCATGCTTACTTTGTGTGACCTGCACCCCCATTGCTGCCCCTCTTAGATGTGTCTCTTCCCAGCCCTGAATCCTCACAGGACTGCAACCTCTGGCCCACCTCACCAGGCACTACTCTGCTAGTCAAATCCCATCACAGTGGGGTTTTCTAGACAACATTCGACAGGCACACCCTTTGCCTAAGAGAGTGCAAAAGGATGTGGGGGATGGGGGGGGTGGGGGTGAGGAGGGGATGATGCCTTCTTTCCTTAAACCGGTATGAAACCTTTTCCCACCAGCGGGCAGTCCCCTGTCTCTTAGCTCTACCCTACGGTCTTTCCACATCAGGCACCCAAAGCAACAATGCCCTGTCCTCAGCCCTATGTCCTGAGGGGGGACAGCAAGAGGAGGAAGAGTTAAGAGTCACTGCAGCAAAGCAAGGAGGGAAGACAGGAGGAGGAGGGGAGGAGAGGGGAGGGGCAGAGACAAGTGGGCCCTCACGTGAAGGGGGCTGGCGCAGACAGCTACTACCTCCTCGGCTCTCGCTGTCGGCAGGCTTCACCTGGATCGGCCGGTTCATCTGCAACAGAGCAGAGGGGACAGCGTTACCGTGGGTCTGGGGTCAAAGTGCTCAGGTACCCCTGTGCAGGCCACACCCACGTGGGGGACCCACACACTTAGAGGCAAGCGAGTACGTCCTCCCAACGTTCCACCATCTTCCTGCGACCTTATTCTCCAAAGCGCAGAATCCCACTTTGAATGGTTTGGGGCACCAACATCTGAGGTCAATAGAGGGCCTAGTCTTCACCCTTTCGCCCAGGACTCCCTCCTGTATCCGAGGCACACCGGGGGCCCAGCCCTCGGTTCCTCAGTACAGCTGGCTTTGCCCAGCCGGTCCTGATGCAGGATGCCAACCGGCCCTGGTCATCTCTGAGACCGAGGACTGGGCTCCCACCTCTTTGGCAGGAGTGGAGCCCTGGGATGGGTTCCTGATGGCAGTCGAGGTCCCCTGGGGGTGGAGTAGACACCGCCACTTGTCTGGTGCTTGCGCGACGTGCCAGGAGAACGTTGGGGCAACACGCCTGCCGGCACCGGCCTCTCGCTGGAATTACTGCAATACCCCATGTGGTCACAAGGGGGCTCTGAACTCCGAGCATCCCGGCTCGTCCACCAGGTTGAACCTCCAGCTCGCAGGCATCAGGGTGGTCTCTCCAGCCGCGAGTTGCCACTGTGTTTCAGACAATAAAAATGACAGAAACCACGCAATGCGTCGCTCTTTATTATCTCTGCCAGCTCTTCTCCTGTATGCCCCTCCCGGATCCCTTTCTGTAATTGCATTTCTCTCACGGGCACAGGCCCTGAGAAGCAAAGAGGGCGGTACGAGCACCCCCATTTCAAAGACAGAGACGCCGAGGCCTAGAGAGTCACGTGCTTTCCCAGGCCAGCCTGTGGCAGGGTCAACCAGGGCTATTTTTCTCCTCCACCACTCCTTAAGCCCTTGTTGCCAATTCCAACGAGTCACAAGCTGCCTCCTGCCTTCCAGTCTAGGATTTGAAGTGAGTTTTGGCTGTGTCGAGACAACTGGGGGTTGGGGAGGGCGGGGAGGATGCTCGTGACTCAGCAAGGTGAAGCTGAGGCCAGGGGAAGGGCAGAGCCACACAGGGAAGGACAGAGGCAGCGTGCAGGATTCAGAGCCAGAGCAGACAGGAGCGGAGACTTAGGGAGCCAAGGCCAGCCAGCCAGACCCCTGAGGGCCAGGGTGCTCTGCTTCACACCAGGTTCCCCTTGACAGTCCTGGAAAGGTGCTTTTGTGGAAGCTGGAGCAGCTGGAGGGTTGCTTGTAACAGCAAACTCCCACCTCAGGAAAGAGTGGCAGCACGTGCCTCACTCCCCCTCAAAACTCCATCTTCTTTCAAACCCTGAAAGAACGGAAGTGTCTAGAAGGCCAACCAGACATCTGGCTCTGAGGGGCTCCCAGAGGGGCTGGGTCGCTCCTGGCTTGCTTTCTGGAGTTCAGCATCTCACTTCCCTCTTTTCGCAGGAGTAGGATTTTATTTGAACCTACAGCCTCGTGCATGGTAGCCATGTTCTCTACCACTGAACTACAGCCTGCACTTTTCACTGTCCACCTAGGGAATCTTCCCTCCACAGCCAAAGACCACCCAGGCCGAACCCTGCTTAGCTTCTGAGATCAGACAAGATGGGCCAGTTCAGGGTGCTGTGTGATGTTCCTTCCCGTCTTCCCCCAAACCTGCAACATTCTGTCCCATCAAGGTGCTATGATCTGGACATTGTGTCCTCTTGCACCTATTTCTGTAGCCCCTGTGCTGAAGAAAGTCAACATCTCTCTGAGATCAGGATCATGGAGATCAGGGTCTCCATCTTGCTTGGAGGAAATGTGGTTAGGGCTCCACGCAGGGACAGGGGCCTTAGAGATTGGCCTTCCTAGGCCTTCTGTTACAGACCCAGCTGCTTGGTTAGTAAGAAGGTCCTGAAGAGCAAGTGAAGACAAGACATCCACATGGAAAGAGCAGTTTGGGACCAGGTTCTTTGGGCCACCAAATTGCATTCAACCTCCTCCGTGGAGCGTCTGCCTCCAAGACTTGCATACTCCCCACCCCACATTTCCTGGTTTTCCTCCCTCAAGTTTACTCCTTGGACCTGCAGTGACCTGAACATTCGGTCATTCTTTGAGACTAACAGTTGCTGTGGTGGGTTGAATTCTCCCTGCCCCTTAGTAAGGCAAAGCAATAGTCCCCAGTGATTTGTATTTGGAAAAACTAAGACCATTAAGGAGGTAACTACAGTTACATGAAGTTGTAAAGGCAAGCCCCACATGACTGATGTCATTAGGAGACAAAGAGGGGACCAGAGACCTATGCACACAGATAAAAGGCCAGATGAGGACATAGCAAGAGGTGGTCCTCTTCAAGAATGGAGGAAAGCCCCTGCCCCAAACCGAACCTGTCCACACTTTAGTCTTGAACTTCCAGCCTCCAGAATAGTGAGACACACGTTTTGGTTGTTTAAACCACGCAAGTGTCATGTTCTAGCCAGCCCCAGCAGATGAACAGACCTGGTTCATGAAGCCTCACTGACACCCCAAGGCGAAGGATCTTACAGGGAATCCACCCTTTTCCATGTAAAAGGCACACTCAAGGGTGGAATTAATTTGCAGGAGGGAGCTAGTGCTTAGGACGCCCAGGACTCTGAGGTACACCAGCAGGGAACAAGAACGGCTGCTTGGTGTGTTATATTTCTGGGTTATGACTTCTAGGATGTATGTGAATAGAGTAACTTCAGAATTTCAGAGAGGTTAAGTCACCAGCTCCCAAATCACACAAGTAGTAAATGGAGGTAGGTGTATGAATCCAGGGTTCCTAGCCGCTGCCTCTGGAGTCAGAAGATGCTGGGAGCCAGGCAAGATGGGCTCAGGGATGGTATAAGGAAGCAGGGGATGAGGAAGGAGAGGTGGGTTGGTCTCACTAAGGCAGACAGGGGCATGCAAACCAGACCCAGATGGGCTTTGCTGCTTTGTCCCTACTGGAGCAACTCATATGGAGTTGAGGCAGGAGGTACCAGATGGGTCAGCGTGTCCAGGTGGATCTCTCATCCTTAGGGGTGACAAAGTGAGGAAGAGGTTCTGGCTCTCAGAGGGGAGGCCTGCTCTGGTTCTGAGTGCTAGGCCAGGCTTCTTCAGGCGGGTCCTAGGGGTTGGCAGGCTCTGAGCTAGAACTCTTTCTGATATGATGGATCCCATTTTCCAAAGAAAACTGAACGAAGCAATGAAATCTCTGTATGCATACAGTGTCCACTCTAGTGGGCACACACCCACTAGATGTCCTTCTGTCTTTGATATTTTGGCACTCGTGATGCTCCGCTCCTCACTCCTGACATAGGTCTCCCTGCCACGCCAACCATGGACAGCATGCCCTGACTTCCTCCAAGTTTTGGTGCTGGGTGTGGTCTCACCTCATTGACTTCCCTAATGCCTCACCCTAGTTTAACTGAGGGCTTCCTCTTGGGGGCTGTCTTCTCACTGGCCTTCAACCTGCCCTCACCCACGGGTGCTCCATAGAGGCCACTGGAGCAGACTGACTTGGATCCCACTGAGCTGTGCCTTTGAACCATTTCTTCATAGCCATTGTCACCTGGGGGAGGTCAGTGTCCAGTCAACTTTTGTAGGACTTGCCTCAGAGATGTGCTGGGCTGGGTGGTCAGATGAAGTACGGCCCCTGACATTTTTATTCTGCAGTGAAGCCAAATGTCAAGCTCAGATGTGGAGGTTTCCCCGGTGGAGTGGGCTCTGCTGGGGTTAGAAGGAAAACAGCCCTCTCGTGTTCCTTGGCCCATCTGCGTCCAGCCTCACCAAGTCCTGCTTCTGACTTAAGCAAGGCAGTATGGACAGAGCAAGCTGGCCTGGGAAGAGGGCATAAGCCAGGATGCAGGGATAGTGAGAGAGGGCAGGGCCAAGTGTGGCTGAGGGAGAGAGGTTAGCAGGCTGCCCAGGACAGCGCAGGGGTCTGTGGAGGAGTAAAGAGCAAAGGATGAAGCAGATGGAGAATTGGGCGTGAAGGTTTCTCAGGCTCTGCAAGGGTGGGTGGGGCCAGATGGAAGATGGCCTTTTCCTGGTCTTTCCCACATCCAGATCCATCCTCACCAACTTCTGGTTCAGCTTTGAGGAAAGAGATGTGTATGGAGGGAGCTGGCCTAGGAAGGGGACACCAGGTCAGGACAGTCACCTCTGCTTCCTACTGCAGGAGGGGGCAGCGGGCAGGTGGCTCCTTCTCAGCCCCTCCCTCCTGGCCCCCCACTCTGCCCCCTGCCCCTCCCTCTGCCACTCTTTGCATCAACACATAGCCACGCATTAAACAAGACATCCCATTAATTTCTTCATCATCATAACTTAAGCTGGGACATACCCTTTAAATATTCATTCAGCTATGAAAACTGGGCATTAAAATTTTAATAATGTCAAGCTCATTTGAACCAGGCTCCTTGGGGACGATTACGATACAATTAGAATAAATACAGTGATTGAGCTGGCTGAAAGGCTTCACCTGTCCTGCATACACCGCTGTGGAGGGAGAGGCCTGTGACTGATGGGCCGACATGCTGCAGGCTGGCCCAGCTCTTTCTTGACTCTGCCCTCCTGTAGCGCCGCTGCCTCCCCATTGCCCTCATTGCTGCCGTTTCTGCTTCTCACAGCTGTCCCCTGCCTGGCCCCTTAGAGCCAGGGTGCAGGGTGCCGTCTGTCTTAAGATGGCTCTGATGACCCTCCTTCTTCTAGTTCCTGCTGTCCTGGTCCCCCTGGCACCAGCTGGGCTCTTGTGGGAGTGTGCTTTCCTTCAAGCGCACTTCCTCTCCCGACTCTACAGGGGGTTCCTTGGACTGGAATGACCACCCCCACCAGAGTAGGGCCAGCCTGGACATCCAGGTGCTCCTGAGCATCTAACAGTGTTCTGTCACCAAAGGAAGAGACTGTCCATCTTCTGCTACATCCTCCCAAAGGGTTGGAATGGATACCTGGGCTGAGGATGAGCCTAGAGCCAGTGCTGGGGAGCCTCCCATGTCCCTTGTATTCATCCTGATTCCCTCTCCCTTGGGGACAGCTTTCACTGCCCACAGGGTCATGAGGCCCTTCTCGGGACCTGGTACCTCCAGACCCAATCTGAGCATCCCTGGATCACAGGTGCACACACATGTGCATGTCTATGTAAGAGAGCATGCATATGATTAGTGGCATAGGGCATTGCCACTGTCTTAAAAGAAATCGCTTTGGCTCAGAGAATCAGACTGAAAAGGGAAAGTGTCGCCAGGGTGCTCTCCAGAGGGAATGGGCATTCAGAGATGAAAAGTCCTACCTGGCTCCACATGGGATGTGAGGGTCAGGCTCTTGTACTCACCAGGACTAATCCCCAGTGAGGGTGAGTGGGGAGGTGTGTGAACAGAGCTGATTCTCATCTTCCCTAAGCCTGCAGCCTTCCCCTGGAACACAGTTCTCAGCTTCCAGACCCTGGCTGTCTCTGGGAGGGGTAGCCGCCCACTCACTCACTGGTGGACATGCGTGTTTGGACCTGGCTCCTGCTGGTCTCCTGAACCACCATTGTTTGCGTGTAGCTCCAGTTCTGCTCCGGAGAATTCAGGCTTTGTGCTCTGTACTCCCCTCTCCTTGCTGGGCCCCTGGAGTGTCTGCGCCCTGACCCCAGCAGCAGCAAGGGTCTGGCAAGCAAGACATAATCTGAAGGCCCTTTTGTTCCAAAAGCAAGGAAAAAAGTGCCATTAACTACAAAGCTTTCTTCCCTTCTCTCTCTCTCTCAAGAACATTCAGTGTTCTTAACTGCTAAGCCATCTCTCCTGCTTTTTTTTTTTGTCTTTTTGAGACAGGATCTTCTTGTAGCCCCAGCTGGTCTGGAACTCACTATGTAGACTAGGCTGGCCTTGAACTCACAGAGATCCGCCTGCCTCTGCTTTCTGAGTGCTGGGATTAAAGGCGTGCACCACCACACCTGGCCTGCTGCTATTTTTTTTTTATTTGCTATTTGATGTCATTTTAAGTAAAGAAAAATAAGAATTTAAAATTATTAGCATACAGTTTTACCATTTGTCTTTATGCAGTGTCTGTTTTAAATGTAAATATTATACAGCATTTACCTTTTATGCAGAATCACAGAAATTAGCAATGAGGATTTGGTGGGCACTGAACTGGCCCAAAGAGACAGATGAAAGCTGAACTCCAGAAAGTCCCTAACAGGCCCCCAGAGCCTCATGGACTGCCAGTGGAAGGAGAACTCAGCATGGAGCACAGAGGACAGAAGGCAACTCTACCTACAAGTCCCTGCCCTAAGCTCTAAGTATGTTCCCTTCTGAGACCTCCCGGAGCAGGATTGATCTATGTAGCCCAGCCTAGCCTCAGACTTGCAGTCCTCCTAACCCCACCTCCTCAGTGCAGACATTGTAGTGTGTGCCACTGTGCTTGGCAACTTCAGGCATTTTTGCAAATAGAGGCTGAGAACTCACAGCCACCAGCATAGAAGTCTAGTGATGAGATGCTGCTGCCCTTACGGACTTAGAACTCACCCTCCAACTCCCAGGGAGCAAAGGTGGGCGGCTTTCCATGCTGTTTCCAGGACTTTGCCTTCACGCAACTTAGCAACAGTTAGCTAATGAGTGACAAAATTATTTGTTCAATAGGAAACAGGGTCTCATCCCGAGCTGGGGTGGATCCCCAGGCTGTGCTTTGCAGGCTGGTAGGGTTGAAGGGAAGAGTGAGTCTGCCTGGGGGCTTCCCCTGTCCCCTGTGGAGGAAGGCCAGCAGGGGAACAGCAGACGCTGTGCACACTATTTGTAGCTTGTTGTAAATATATTACTGCTTTAATTACCTCCTTAATAAATCACATATGGTTCACTCCATGGAGAAGGGGTAGAAATTTGAGAAATCCTGTCTGTTGTCAGCAGAAAGCTTTGACTCATGAAAACTACTGATAATGAGGATTTGGTAGGTTTAGACACCCCCTCCCAAGTGGTGTGGCACTCGTAGAGTGGCACCCACAGCACCTCACCATGGCTTGGCCTCTGAGGCCCACCCTGTCCAGGGTGCAGTCTCCAAGGCTGCCTGGGACACAGCAGCTCCTGCCCCTTTTTCTGCTTGGTGACTCCCGTCCCCGTTGGTCTCAGTGTCCCCTCTTAAAACCTACTTGAGGCGTCCTTTCAAACCTCTTATTTCTTTATTGCTTTGTGGTGTTGATGGAATGTTCTGGTCCCAGTCTCCAGGGTCTGTTTAATGTCTGTCTCCACTCTGTGAAGGAAGCCCACAGCCATTTTGTTCCTGATCCACATGCAGCCCCTAGCCATGACCTCAGGAAGAGTGGGTATTTAAGACACACTGGGGAGATAGCTCAGTCAGTACAGTCCTTGCTGGGCAAGCATGAGGGCCTGAGTTTGATCCCCAGAAAAAACAACTGGCTGTGGTAGTATTTATAATTCCAGTGCTGGGGGGTTGGAGACAGACAGACCCTGGGGCTCCCTGGCCAGCAAGCCTAGCCTACTTGGTGAGTTCCAGGTCAGTGAGAGACTGTCTCAGTACACAAAGCGATGCTGGCTTCAGGAGCACATATACTAAAATTGGAATGATACAGAGATTAGCATGGCTCCGTTGCACAAGGATGACAGGACAGTTCCAGAAAGCATTCCATGTGTTTGAAAGGACAAGGGGGACTTGTTGAGAAGAAAGGTTACAGCAGAAGAAAGGAGAGGAATAAGGTATGTAGGAAAAATGAATAAAATTCACCATATAAATGTATTAAACTGTCAACCACTAAAAAATTAAAAAACAAAAACAAAAAACCAAAGTGGACAGTGTCCTGAGGGATGACACCCAAGGTTGACCTTGTTAAGGTTCAGGTAGCCCCGCCCCTCACCAACAGGGTCTCAAGGACTTCTCAAGCCCCTGAGAAAAGGGACCCGAGTTGATAAGCACCTTGGTCTTTGAAGTCAAGAGAAGCAGACTTTTCTCCACTGTTTGGCCAACACAGCAGGCTTCCCCTTTGATCTCTAAAGAGAACAGGTTTTAACAGTTCTGTTCTCCCGCTCCCCTCTCCCGCTCCCCTCACAACTTAAAAAAAATACACCTTCCCGCCTTCTGCAGGAAGGAGAAGCCTCCCCCTTAAAAAGACCCTAGCTCACAACCTGGGGCAGACATTTTCCCTGCCTGGAAGGGAATCTGTCCCATGTTTTCCTTTGCTAATAAACTCTGCTTTCTCCTGATCAACCCTACTCGTCATATGGCTACTTTTTATCTATCAGACCTCTGGCCTCCACTCACATGTGTATGTGCACCTAACATGCACACATGTACAGGCACTCATCATTCTCTCTCTCTCTCTCTCTCTCACACACACACACACACACACAAAACCTGACAAATGGATGACCTACTCCTCTCTCAAGCACCGCACCACCCTTGTCCCTCTTGCCTGGACCCTGCCCTTGTGGAAGGACTGCCAGGGGCTAGAAGTGGGTGAAGCCCTTCAGTCCCCTTCCAGACCAAAGAGAAAGGCCCTTTAATCCTCTGACCTCCAGCTGAGTGGCAGTGTTGTACCTCTGGATTAGGAAGGGTTTATTGTGGCTGTGATCTTGCTTTAGAGAGACAGCCTGTGAGCCTGGGGCAGGCAGAAGAAGGGGGTTATTGTTGAAATATGCAAATCTAGAGCCCATTGAAATGGCAAGCCCTCCAGACAAGATTTTTCAATAAATCGTACTTCTGTTCCCACTCCCAGATCTGAGGCCACCTGATGCCTGTTGGGTCAAGACGCATCCTGCCAGTCCATTCTTCACTCCTCTTTACCCTTCTGTTCGTTCAAGCTGCCCAGGGTGGGGCCGGCCGGCCAGCCGAGGCCCCTTGGAGTATTCAGTGGGTAAAGTGCTCGAGGCAGCGTCCAGATCGCTCTCAGAGACACCCCACCTTCTCTCTGTGCTGTGGTCTACAAGCCCCTCTCTCACCCCTAACCTCCACTCACTTTATGCCTCCCACAATAGAATCCACTCAGTTGCACCTGAGCGCTCACACGCAGAGGTGTGCATGGTGTATGATGGCTAGAAGTCCATATAAGATGCTTTTCTCTGTTGCTCACCACCTTACTTTTAAAAATATTTATTATTTTATGTGTATTATTATTTTATGTGTATTATTGCCTGCATGTATGTAAGTGCACCCATGTCATGCAATGACTGTGGAAGTCAGAAGAGGTTGTCAGATCTCCTGGAACTGGAGCTATAGATGGTTGCTAGCTGCCATGTGGGTGTTGGGACCCGAACCCGGTCCTCTGCAAGAGCAACCAGTGCTCTTAACTGCTGAACCATCTCTCCTGCCCTCGAGACAGTCTCACTGGAGCCCACTGATAGCTAGATGAGGGACCTTCCTGTGTCTACTTCCCCACTGCTGAGATCACAGGTGCTAAGTGTGTGCTGGGAATGGAACTTGAGTCCTCAGGCTTGCATGGCAAGCACTTTATTGACAGAGCCATCTCCTCAGCCCTGACACCTGTTGCTTCTTGGACCATTGCCTCCAGATGTTCTGGTCTACTCCTTCAAAGGTGTTAAGGAATGAGGGACAGCTGCTGAGAAGCAGCACAGCTTCCAACTGTCTTGGGGCTGTGGCTGGGTCCCAGGCTTGCTGGTTTTGAGTCAGGTCCTAAGAAGTCAGGCATGTGGTTGGAGCTGGGATTCTGGGCAGGGCATGAGTGAACTGAGTCTAGTCCCTCCTATGCTCTAGATGTTTCCATGACCACACAGGGGAGACTGTCTTTTATTCCTTCCTGAAGCTCAAACTCTAGGGTGGGTGGGATTGGGGCTGGGTGGCACTTGGAATAACTCCAGGAAGGAAGCGAGTGGAGGGAGGGTCACAGGATATGAGAATGAGGAAAGTCATGTAGGTTGAGGGGATAAGCAAGCAGGGCTGGGGGCCTGTTAAGGCAGGCAGGGTCTGAGCATTGCATTGGGCGTGGCAGCTCCCTACCTGTATGAGACAAGGACCAAATTCTACAGGGGCTATTCTAGAAAGAGCATGAGAGGGTAGGGAGAGCTCAAAGAAGCCTGAGAAATACCAGATAAATGCTTAGAGCAAGATGCCAGTTCTCTGGTAGCCAGACCCCTCTGGGCCTGTGGGAAAACAACAGGGCTGATGCAAGGAAGCCACTGGACAAACTGATTATTCCCCGTACAGCTTTACTTCTTGGTTTCCAAGTGACCCTTGCCCCAGGCTAAAGCTGGCCAAGGGACTAAGCAACCAGTGGGATGGAAAGGGAATGCAGCCCTTGGTCCAGGCAGCCCCCTTTGCAGCCCACACATCCTCTTTGGTCCAGTCCGACAAGCAGGCTGCTGGCAGTTGCTATGCAACAGGCTGCTCTGCTCTGCGGTGTCCAGCCAGGCAGCAACCGGCAGCCCTGGTGGGCGGCTGTGCGGCTCCACTTCTTCCTCCTGCTCACCTTCCTCCTTCTCGTCCTCCTCTGAACATTCTCGCCTTTCTGGAATCTTTTTACACTCTCCTTTCACCTAAAGGGCTCACACGAAGTAGGCTCCTCCCCAACCTCTGCCCCCTGGACTGGTCAGAAGTCCTCTGAGAGGACGAGCGCAGGCCCAGGACAGAGACCTCTGGTTGGCTTTTGGTGTCCCTTGTCCCTTCCCTCCCTGAGGCAGTGGGGGAGGGAACAGTCTGTGGGTTAATACTCTGGGCTAGGACAAGTAAAGTAAGGGTCTCAGTGAGATCACCAAGTGGAGCTCACAGATCTGTAACCCTAGGGTGGCGGCTATGACTCCAGGGTGGCCGGATTACAAGGTCCCGGCATCCCAGTCAAAGCTTGGAGGTCCATCCACAGTTCCAACGGCAGGGGGCCCTTTGTCTTCAAGCCCCTTGTCCTCTCAGTCTTATGGCTTCACCACCAGCCAGGGCTGCATTGGAGGGTGGGAGGATCCTCCTGGTCTTAGTTAAGAGCCGCTGCCGTGGAAACCAAGCTAATTAGCCGCTCTGCCAGGCTGGGTCGCTAACCCTCTTCAGGGTGGTGGGGGGTGTAAAAAAACAGTGGATGGATAATTCTGGATGAAACAAGCTCTGATTTAGTTGCCAGGCCTGGATTTTGGTTCTAGTTCTGCCTTATATGTGCATGGAGATAAAGCAGTTACTTAACCCCTTAAAGGCTCACCCTCAGAAGGTTCAGGGGAGGGGCTAAATGGAAACTCAGTGCAACGCCTGTCACCTAACAAGTGCCCAGCAACTGACAGCCATCCTCTCCCTCCTGCCCTTCTGCCACTCTCCCTGCCCCCTGTCCTGTCCTTCCAGAGTAATAACCCAAAACTTAGATCACCTCTGGGGAGAGGCTGAGATGGGGGTGGGCAAGTGCCACTGAGAAGCAAGGGGCTCCCTGACAGCAGAGACCTGTGCCCCCCGCCAATGCCTTTCCTCTGCCCCTGTCCCAGCTCTGTCCTCTCTACTTGGTCTGTCAGCACTAGAGCCTGGTGCATTGATAGGCCACAACATTCATTCATTCATCTACCCAATACTTGTTGAGTGCCTCTGTGGGTGGGGCCTTTTCTATGACACCTCCCTCCACCCTGATGCTCACCACTATCACCAAAGGAAGCTTTCTTTCTTCTTTTTTCATTTTTAAATATTTTATTTATTATTTTTATTTTATGTGTATGAGTGTATTGCCTACATGTAGGTAAGTGCACCCATGTCTTGCAATGCCCATGGAGGTCAGAAGAGGCTGTAGGATCTCCTGGGACTGGAGTTACGGACAGTTGTTAACTGCCATGTGGGTGCTGGGATTTGAACCCAGGTCTTCTGAAAGAACAACCAGTGTTTTTAACCACTGAGCCATCTCTCCAGCCTCTGGGGGCTTTCTAAATGGCCTAGGTGCTGGTCTCCCTAGACCCCACTGTACACTGGCACCTGGGTTTGCTGATTTGGCTAGGATGGCTGGTCAGTAAGCTCCAGGGATCTGCCTGTATCTGTCTGCCCAGCACTGAGATTGCAACCTCATACCACCACACTGTTTTTTTATTTGGGTTCTGGGGATCAAACTTAGATCCTCACGCTTACACAGCAAGTGCTTCACTAAATGAACCATCTCCCCAGGCCTCTACGTGACTACGCTAGTAGCAGACAGCTTTTGTTACTATGGCTCTGTAGTATAATTTGAGATCAGTTTTTGTTGTTGAGACAGAGTCTGACTATGTAGCTTAGGCTAGCCTTGAATTCACTATGTAGCCCAGGCTGCCCTTAAGCTCACAGCAGTTCTCCTGTCTCAGACTCCCAGAGCACTGGGATTATAGGTGTGAACCACCATGCCTGTTTTTCTTCCATAGTTTGAAGTTTTCATTATAGAAGCATTTTACTTTCTTGGTTAGGTTTATTCCTAGATGTCTCTCTCTCTCTCTGTCTCCCCTCCCTTCTTTTCCCCTCCCCTTCCCTCCTTCCCTCCCTCCCTCCCTCACCTCATTCCCTCCCTTCCTTCCTTCTTTGCCTGGAACTCACTATGTAGACCAGGCTGGCCTTGATCTCACAGAGATCTGCCTGCCTCTTGACACTGGGATTAAAAGCATGTGCCACCATACCTGGCTTCCCAGGTATTTTTTTTTTTTAAGCTATTGTGAATTGAATTTTTTTTATTGTGCCCCCAGCCCAGCATCATGACTGGTTCCC